GGAACCCCCCTGCAAAGCTCGATCTAGCCCTCAAACCCTGGACCTACCTCAGTCATTGCTGCTGCTGCCTCAGTGACTGAAGTCTGTGAGGGCTGTGAGGTCTGAGGGCTAGGGGGATTTTAAGGGCTGTGAGAGCTATGGGGGCTGTGAGGATGATGTGGCTTCTGGGGGCCATGGGGGATGTGAGGGCTATGGGAACTATGTGATCTGTGAGGGCTGTGGGGACTATGGGATCAGTTGGGGCTGTGAGGTCTACGAGGGCTATGGGGTCTGTGAGGTCTTCAGGGGCCTCGAGACCTTTGAGGGCACAGCCCCCACAGTCGTCTCAGTCCTCACAAGTGCCCTAGCCCTCGTCATCCCCATTGCCCTATCAGCCCTCACAGACCTATAGCCCTCACAGACCGGTCTCTGAGGCGGCAGTGGTGGCAGCAATGACTGAGGTAAGTCCGGGGGTGGGGGTTAGATTGAGCTGTATCTGGGGGTTCCTGAGCTCAGGTACACCCGAGCAGCATCCCCGAGTCTCACGGGACCCAGAAAACCTTGGCAGCGAACCAGGCGAGGAGGGGGCTGTGCCAGTAACATCGGAAGGAGATGTAAACAGCTCTAGGGAATGCGATGAACTGGAGCGAGCAAACAGAAGTGGGCAAACAGGGGTGTGGCACAGCACTGAGGGCATGGCACAGACGGTTTGCACAAGCAGGGCAAGCAGGTGGGGTGAGCAAGGACTCCTCTCTGACCACCTGAGAGCAGCCAACAGAGGCAGGGAACAGACTCAGTAGCTGGTAGTAGTGAGCAGTAGCCTGACAGTTCAAAAAGCATTTGAATAATGCTCTCAGGCACATGCTGCGACTCCTGGGGATGTCCTGTGGAGAGCTAAGAGTTGGACTCGATCCTTGTGGGTCCCTTCCAAATCAGCATATTCTGTGACCCCGTAGCACTCACAGACCCATGCTGGAGTGGGAACTTCAGTCCGTGTTTGTTAGAGAAGCCCTCCCCTTGAGATGCAGAAAGGACCCCGTTGCTTTCTAAACTCCTTCTCAGAGAAGAGCCTGGGTGCAGCTGAATCCAGTTTAGCCCCAGACTCTGTCAACCATTTAAATCTAAAGAATTATAGAGGTGTGATGGAACCTTTGTACAACTCTGTTCCCCAGGATTAAAGATGGCAAATCAGATATATTTATATAAAATGAATTATTTATTATGAAAAATGATTAGACAAAAGATCTTAATCCGAATTATTTACTGAACAGTATAGAAGCTAAAACTACTAGTATAGGATAGGATATGGTGCACAAAACAAAGCAATTATATTAAAGCAATGATATTAAAGCTAGCAAAAAAAAGAGAAATTATTATTAAGTGGAGATTGATGTAACTCACCCATACCAATGACCGTGGGCATATCTCTTTCAATCAGCCTTGAGGAGTAACCTCGAGGAGCATCCTCTACTCAAGGGGAAAATCTCCACACTCTAACATGACTCCAAGAAGGGTTATGTTAGAAGAACCTACTGTATGAAAGTGGACTGGACTATAGAAATAGTATAAAGTGATTGACTGTCAGTCTCCAGGTCAGTTTAGAAGCTTGTCTGCCAAATCTTTGCCTCACCATCAGGATGTTAATTTGGAGTTGATGAGCCAGACTAGTTTTAGCATAATTCAACAACAAAAACCAGCACATGGTGCCCTCTCTCAGTCTACCACTGATAGTCTTGCAAATAGGGTATTGTTCAAGTTGCTTGACCACATTCCAAGGCAGAGCATCCTGCTACAACAGATAGCCCTCACAGCCCCCATAGCCCTCACAGCCTTAATAGCCATCACAGAACAAGTAGTCCTCACAGTCCCTAATATCCCCTATATCCCTCACACACCCCATATTCCCCCCAGATCTCAAAGACCTCAAAGCCCCATACTCCTCACAGCCCCCATAACCCCCATAGCCCTTAGAGCCCCTGTAGCCCTCCCAGCCATCAAAAATCCCATAGCCCTCACAAGTCCCACAGTCTACATATCTCCTATAGCCCTCACAATCTACGTAGCCCTCATAACCTCTAAAAGCCCCCACAGCTCTCACAGCCCCTCAAAGCCCCTATAGCTCTCACAGCCCCTCACAGCTTCCATAGCCCTCACCCCTTAGAGCCCCTGCAACCCTTACAGCCCCATAGTCCTCACAGCCCCATAGCCCTCACAGCCACCACAACTAGAAGAGGAAGGGTCTCCTTCCCTCACTCCATGGGACTTCTACCACCACTCCTGGGATCCAGAGGAGGACCAGAACTCCACCAGGCCTGCCACTACCACTCTGGACAAGACTGTGACCATCACTCCAACAGGACTGTGACCATCATCTGGACCAACAGGTTTCCTTTCCTGTTACTTTGCACCCAGGGGGGCCACGTGGTGCTCAGCACAGGGGCTAATGAACACCCTTCTGTTCTCGTCCCAGGGTGTGGGGTTACACATCTGTCTCTGGGGGTTAAAACCAGTTTTTTATCTGTATCATTGCATTTATTGTAATCTTTTTAGTAAATCGTAACTCTGACTTGTAATCTCTCTTGAGTTAGGTTCATTTCTCCTGCCTTTTTCCTTTTAAACCAGCACACCTCCCCACTAACTTGGGAGCAGATTTACGTGCTGCTTTCCACAGTAATTCACGCATAGATGATTCAATTGTCTGTGAAGCAACCGCTGCTGCATCATCCATTTCGATCCGTAACTCCGGTGGAGCCACCGTGGCTAGGAAAGCAGCCACAGGGCTCCAGTGCTCAGGGCTGGGCCACCCCAAAATGTGGGGAGTGACCATCATGACCTCCCCAGTCCCCAGCTTTCCCCGTAGCCACGGGTCACCCAGCTGTTTTTACAGTTCAAAACTTTCTCTCCTGTATTCCTTCACCCAAAGCCTGCAGGAAAGAATGCTGAGTTTGTAACAACGCTGTTATCTTCCTTGAGAGAATTACATTTCTCTCAACAGACATAAAACAACCCAAAGGAAACAGTGTGAAAATTCCCACACTGAAACAATATTCTTAGCATCTGCAGCTGCAAACTTATCTTGGGCGAAAACAACTAAAGAAAAACGCCTCCTCGTCAGATCTTCCGCTTTCAAGCCCTTCCTCCTCACAGCAAGGTAAGGGAGGGGTAGGCAAGGGAAAGCAAGACCAGTGAGGGGAAGGCAAGAAAAGGGAAGGGAGTGGTAGGTAAGGGAAGGCCAGGAAGCAGTAGGATGGGTAAACAAGGCAGGAGAGAAGACGACAAGTCAAGTGGAGAGAGGAGTAGGCAAGGCAGGGGGAGGGAGGTGTAAGCAAGGCAAGGCAAGGCCAGGCAAGAAAGGGGCAGGCAAGTGAAGGAAGGGGATAGGTATGGAAAGCAGTGCAAGCAAAGGAGTGGTAGTCAGGGCAAGGCAAGGTAGGTGAGAAGTAGGCAATGAAAGGCAAGGCAAGAGAGGGGTAGGCAAGGTAAGGTGAGGTGAAGGAGGGGTGGGAAATGAAAGGAAGGACACGGAGCAGTTGGTAAGGCAAGGCAATGCAAGTCAGAGGAGAGGAAGACAAGGCAAGGCCAGGCAAGAAAGGGGTAGGCAAGTCAAGGAATAGATTGGTGTGCAAGGCAATGCCAGCCAAGGGAGGGGTAGTCAGGGCAAGGCAATGCAAGGGATTTGTGGGCAAGGCAAGAGATGGGTCTGGAAGGCAAGGCAAGTGAGAGGTAGGCAATGAAAGGCAAGGTAAGGGAGGTATAGGCTATTCAAAGCCAGGCAAGGGAAGGGTAGGCAAGGCAATGCAGTGTAAAGGATAGTCAGGCATAGCAAAAAAAAGGCAAGGTTGGGGAGGAAGGCAGGTAGGCTCAATGCTTCAGGGGCAGATGACAGGCTGCAGCAGCCAGGAGCAGCTTGTTGTCCTAGCACATTTTGTGTGGGAGCAATCCCCTGACACTTGCCATTATGGAGGTGGTATCAAATTTTTGGAACTAACCTTCTGAAAAAGGATAACAGTGTTCTTCCTTAAGAATGAAAGCACATCGTCCTGCAATAATAATTGGGTGTCCAGGGAATGAAAGAGACAGCCACAGGTTTTCTGTCTGGCATCTTTTGTGTGGGAGCAACCTCACAATGTCAGGTTGTCTCCACATTTCAGAGGTGATCTCTGTAATATTTGGCAGTCCTTTTATTTTGGGCCACATAAAGCTATTTCCAGTCTTGATGTATAGATGATATACTGCACTGGGGAGGTAATGCCCAGTAATGGTGTTCTGGTACCTTCATATGGCATCAGTCCCTGGATGGTTTCTATTTTGAGGTGGGGGGGTCACATTTCTTCTGAGATGTGGGGTCTTAGTTGCTCTCTGTGGCACGGAAACGATTTTTGGATCCTCACATTTAGTGGGCTTGGTGAATTTAATTGCTTTTCCTAATATACAGTGCTACCAGTTAGAGCTGTTAAATCTCTAGAATGGGAATGTAAAAGCCAAGCTGTTGGGATTTTTGTCCTGGTCCTTTTAGTGTCTGAGCACTTAGTGGTGGGGTTCCAGTTTTGGATCCTGACTCCGTGACACTGAAGGATTATGAGGGTACATAGAAGGTGCAGATACCGGCGTGTGAGGTGCAGTTCAGCGGGTGCAGTTGAAGGTGGAGACAGCAAGAGCTTTCTCTCCTAGCATTTTTGTGAGTTGTGTTTTTGCTGGACATTTTTGATTTTGTTGCTGGATTCTGAGAGAGTGAAAAAATGTATTGGCACGTATAATTGGGAAGGAGTGCGTGCTGCCACTCGAGCGTGGTGCAAATAAGAGTTCGCACGTGAACGGGGAAGGTCAGCCAAAACCTTTTTGTCCTGACACATTTAGTCTGAGACCAGTGACGGGACGTTGTCACCTTTGGAGCAGCACTTTGGGCTGGTTTGTGCGTATACAGGGCCATCTACAGGAGCTGTTAAACGGCGATACGGGGGGAACGTCCACTAGATGGCCCCGTGCACGAGAAAAAGGCGTAAATGGACCGTGGTAACCTCAAAACCGACGAATGCGAAGATCCAAAGTTCAAAACGTCCTCTACTGCTCTCAAAGAAATCGTGCCAGAAATCAGAAAGACTTCGCTGACCGTCCCTTCCATTTGCAGGCTTGTATTTGCACAACAATCAAGTGGCAGCTGGTTTTCCTTGCAGCCTGAAAACTGCACACAGTTTCCATCTCCGCTATACGTAGGATTGTGCACTTTTCGGTCTCGTGGGAGTTTGAAAGGTCCGTCCGCTTCTCGTACAAAAAAAATGTCCTTCCCCGTTCACGTGCAAACTTTTACTTGCACCACGCTCGAGTGGCAACACGCACTCCTTCCTAATTGTATGCGCTAATATATTTTTTCCCTTTTGCAGAATCCAGCAACAAAAAATGCAAACCTCTGGCAAAAATAACTCTCGGAAAAGCGCCAGATGAGAAAGCTGCTGCTGGCTCCACCTTCAGCTGCATCCATTGAACTGCACCACAGCCCCGGTATCTATACTTTCCTTCTCAGCTCTACGAACCATCACAACCTTCGGTCTCACGGAGTCCAGGATCCAAAACTGAACCCCACCACTGCGTGGGGCTGCGGCCGTGGGGAGCGGGAGGTGCTCCCGCTGTCGGGGCGTGTCAAAGGGGCCCTTCCCGCGGATCCACCGCCGCCTCGGGTCCTGTTCCCGGAGCTCCGTCCCCTGCCCCGCCCCGGGGTCTCGCCGCACTCTCGGGGTCCCCTCCCCAAGGCCCCCGCGGAGCCACTCGCGGAGCCCCCGCGGGGACCCGGGGCGGGAAGGGCGGAGCGTTCTCCGGCCCGGGAGCGGTTCCGGGTCGGGAAGGCGGGATCTGCGGAGGAACCGGCACCGCGGGACGGCGGCGACATGGTGGGGAGGGGGTCTGCGGGGAGAGGGGGGAGGCGCAGCGGCCCCGCGGCGGGCTCTGACCGCCTCTCCTCCCGCAGCGGTTCCGCTTCTGCGGGGACCTGGACTGCCCCGACTGGGTGCTGGCCGAGATCAGCACCCTGGCTAAAATCGTTAAGTGCCCGCGCCCCCCGCGTTCCCCTGCCCGCCCCCTTCCCACCCGGGCCCGCTGCTCACCCTCCTTATTCCCCGCAGTCCTCGGTGAAGCTGAAGCTGATCTGTGCCCAGGTGCTGCGGGACCTCCTGGGGGAGCCCATGGAGGTGAGTGCGGGGCTACCGCGGTGGAGGCCAAGTGTTTCAACACTGCAGTGGCATAATCAGCAATATTAATTAATTTCATATTCTTCATGCGGCCTCTGCAATAAGAATGCTACCAGCCACTGCTAGTAGCAATACTGTGCATATTAAATGTTATTAGTATTAATATTAAGGTAAGAATTATGAGTATTAATGTTGGTAGTGAGTGTGTTACCTGGTGTTTACCGTGATGCTCTGCTCTCCCGCAGTATGAGAAGATCCTGAAGCTGACCTCGGACGCAAAGTTAGGTGAGCACTGCTGTCCTTACTGGGATCCCCCCATGGAGCCCCACTCTGGGGCTGGGCAGCAATTCGGCTGGAGTTGCCTTCCCAAGGTGGCAGAGCTCTCCCTCCATCCCATCCACAGAGTCAGGGGACGTGAAGGCGACCATCGCTGTCCTTGGCTTCATTCTCTCCAGTGCAGCCAAGCACAATGTAGACAGCGAGTCCCTGTCAAGTGAGCTGCAGCAGCTGGGGCTGCCCAAAGGTAAGGGGGACCCTCAGGGTGGCACCAGGGGCCAGACCTGGTGGGATGTGCCCAACGCAGTTCCCAGCGCTGCTGCCTTCACGCTCAGATGCAGGGCAGGCTGGAAACTGTGCTGTTCTCCATCACCTCCCTGCTGCACCATCCATCCCCAGGGGCTCCTCAGGTGCTTTGATGGGGTTTGGTAACTGCAGGGCTGGTGTGAGCAGGGGGGTTCTTGTCCTGTCTCTCCTCACGAGCAGAGCATGCCAGCGGCTTGTGTCGTTCCTACGAGGAGAAGCAGAGCTCTCTCCAGGACAGCCTCAGGGCCTGTAGCCTGCGATGTGAGTGGGATGGTTGGGTCTTAACAGGGTTTTGGGTGTTGGTGGCAGTCACCCTGCTGGAGTGAGCCAGGGTGCTGACACCACCCCCACTACCCACCCCAGTGAGCCAGCTGGGCTTGGTGCGCTGGCGGGTGGATTACACCCTCAGCTCCAGCGAGCTGCAGGAGGTCAACGAGCCCCTGGTGCATTTGACGTTCAACGTGCAGAACAGGGAGTGCGGGAGAACGACGGCTGTCTCTGTGACTCTCTCGGCTGACAAGTTCCGAGTGCTGCTGGCAGGTGAGGCTGGAGGATGGGTGGCAGCGAGGACCTCTAGGGCTGTGGGGGATGCTGGGAGGGATGCTGCTGAGGATGTAGCAGCTCCCCCACAGCTCCATCCTCTTTCTGCAGAGCTGAAGCAAGCCCAGACCCTGATGAACACCCTTCTCTGAGGAGCCAGCCTCCCATGGGGGGAGTCACGGACACCGAGTTGCTGGGTCGGATCTGGTGCTTCTGGCTGGGAAGGGGAACATTTCCCTGCTCTCCTGGCTTCCGGGGACCCTCGGGGTAGCTTCAATAAAGTCCCGGTGACAAAGCCGAGCTGTGTCGTTCTGTGTCTCCCCGCGGCGGGGCCGCCCGGCAGGACTACAAGCTCCGGCATCACCGCGCAGCCAATGGGAGCGCGCGCCGCCCTGCGCGGAGCCAATGGGAGCGCGCGCCGCCCACGGCGCAGCCAATGGGGGCGGGCGGGCGCAGTGGGAGCTGCCGGTGGCAGCGCGGTCGTGGCTCCGCGGCGCGGTCGCGGCGATGCCCGAGTGCCCGGAGCTGCACCTCGCCGGGTGCTTCATCAACGGCGTGTGCGGCGGGCTGGTGTTCGCGGGCGGCGTGGAGCGCTCGGCGGTGGGCCGCGGCCCCGAGGTGCCGTTCCGCAGCGAGGCCTACCGCATCTCGGCCCTCGCCCGGGGCAAGGAGCTGCGGCTGACGCTGAGCGCGCTGGACCCCGCCGCCGCTCCCCCGCCGCAGGACCTCGTGTTTCGTTTCGGCATGTCGGGGTCGTTCCGGCTGTGCCCAGCCGCCGAGCTGCCCCGCCATGCCCACCTCCGCTTCCTCACCCGCGAGAGCCCCCCGCGGGCCCTCTGCTTCGTGGACGCCCGCCGGTTCGGGTCCTGGCGCCTGGGGGACGCCTGGCAGCAGGAGCGCGGGCCCTGCGTCGTCTCCGAGTACCAGGCTTTCAGGTGAGCGCCCTGGAGGAATGCCCCCTGGTTGGGTTTGACTGCTTTTCCTGCACGGACATGCCCCGGTGACTCTTGTTGCCCCGTGCTCTGTTGCAGGGAGAACGTGCTGAGGAATCTGGATGACAAGGCTTTTGACAAGCCCATCTGTGAAGCCCTCTTAAACCAGAAGTATTTCAATGGAATTGGGAATTACCTGCGTGCTGAGATCCTGTACAGGTAAAGTGGGTTGAGCATCCGCTGACCTGCCACGGAGGTTTGGTCTCCAAGAGTTTGCTGGAACTCAGTGGCTCTTGGGCTAAGTTGGCCGTGCCTCCTCACCTGGTAGATGTGGACAGTGCCAGAACCAAGGGCTCAGGCTTGTGTGTAACTCTTTCAGGTTGAAGATCCCTCCCTTTGAAAAGGCTCGGACTGTCCTGGAGGCCCTGAAGGATCAGAAGCAGGAGAGGAGGAAGAAGGTGAGGAATACCAGGTGCTTTCACAGGATCAGAAGGTGGCAGATGTCGTACCAGGGGTTTGGTTGCCTGTGGCCCTGCAGGACGAGCTGTGCCCAGCTTCTGCCTTCAAGAAGTCTATGAATATTTTTGGGGTGGGTGAAGAGGAAGAGATGAGTGAAACAAACACCTTGCAAGCTTAAAATCTCCAAGAAGGCTGTAGTAAAGCCCAAGGCTGTTCTCGTGGTCTTTTAAAGTGACTATTTTAAAGAAGCCAGAAGACAAACTACATGACCTGAGGGGTGTTTTTAAAACTGCTGATGTTTGTGTGTGTTAGCCCTCTTTCATGTCTTTGTAGCTAAACTGGAAGCCCACAGTGGGGTGAGCTCAGGGCTGGCATGTATGGAGAGTGTGGCAACTCATCCTCAGGAGGGCAAAAGACAAAGAATTTGGGTGCTGTTGGAGAGGAGAGACCCCGAGGAGGCAGAAGTAGCTGGCAGGTGACTTTCCTCCCCTTCTCCACCCTTGCAGGATCCTTCCCTGACACTGAGCAAGAAGGTGAAGCTGATGAGGAAGAACCCGGATCTCCTGGAGCTGTGCCACACCGTGCCCATGGAGGTCATCACGGCAGGTGAGGCGACAGGACAGGATGCTGGGGAACAGGGACAGCTGGGGGAGGCTGGGGCTTTGCATTCCCGGCATCAGGAGGTTTGGGAGGGCATCCCGACACCACGATCGTGGCTTCTGCTCTAATTCTGTCCTTTCTCCCTTCCCAGAAAAGCACCTTTTGGACCCTGAGCACTCGGATAACTACGCCACCTTCAAGAACTGGCTGCAGTGTTACTTGGTTCCTGGCATGAGCTCCCTGCGTGACCGCAACGGCAGGACCATATGGTTCCAGGTAGGTGCCTGGGGTCACTCCCTGGGGCTCCCAAACCACCCCTCCAGCCCATTTTCTGCTTGCTGAGACTCCCAAACATTACACTGTGTGGCTGGAGATCTCCCTCTCCACCAAGCTGCTGGGCATGGAGGTGACCAGGACCCTCTGTGTGATGGCCAGCTGGCCAAGGGATGGTGGGCAGTCTGGAGCAGATGGAGGGAATGAGGTCTGGAGCCCTGTTCCTCCCTCCTGTGCCCTGTGTCTGTGGCCTTGCAGGAACAGGACTGACAGGAGAGTCCCCAGTGCACAGGGCAGGCAGAGCAAGCCTGACTCTCCTGGCTTCCTAGAGAAATGTGGCTCTTTCCCTATCACTGCGAGAGGGAGAAGGGGCAGGGATTCTGCTGCTGCTGCCTGCAGAATGACTGCACCCCAGTCAATGCTCTGTCCCTTCCTTGCAGGGAGAGCCTGGTCCCATGGCTCCCACAGGTGAGTGTCCTCTCTCCCGCCCGTGGGACCCACTCTTGCTCTGGGAGGGCTGGACACTGGGCAGCCCTGTCTTTTCTGTATAGCACAAGAGCACAGGCAGGAGCAAAGCCCCTCTCCCTGGGGTGCTGACAGGCCTGTGACAGCCGTTGGCACCAAGGGACAGAGCCCATTTTCCCCGGGGCTTCCTACCAGCATCCCAACCTGCTTGGGCACAGCTGTTGCACTGGCAGGATGGTTTTTCGTCCTGCAGTTCCTCAGTGCTCAGCTCACATCACCCAGGACAGCATCCCTGCAAGCGTGTCCCTCACTCCCCCTGACCTGGGCATGTCCTCTCATGCAGGGCAGAAGCACCAGAAGATGCCCCGCAAAAAGCGCGCTCAGCTGAAGGCAGACCCTGAGGCACTGACCCCTAAGGTAAGCAGCTTTGTGGTTGTGTCTGGCTGTCCTGTTCCCCCTAACCTTGCTCAGGCTGCTCCTGAATTCATGGTGGTGATCCCATATGGAGGTTCTCATCCTCTGTGGTGCTCCAAGCACGCTTCTCCTGCTAAGCCGCAGCTCTGATGTCCGCCCAGGTCACCTCACGCGCCTTGAAAAGGCGCCCCAGGGCTGCAGCAACCCCCCAGAAGTCAGATGAGAAGGAGGAAGGGGAGGAGGAGGAGGAGGCTGATGGGCCGAGGAAGGGACGTGCTCGCCGGAGGAGGAGAGGGACCCCTGCTCCAGCCTTGCCTGAGCCAGAGGTGCTTCTCAAAACCAGAAGCCGCCTCCGGATGTCTGCACGCAGGGGCAGAGGTGAGGCTGGCAGCCCCTGCGGCTTTCAGGTGCACAGGTGGGGGCTGTGGGAGCGCTCAGTTGTATCGAAGGGACTGACGGGTGCCAAATGGCAGGAGAGGAGCCAGTGGGGTAGAGCCAGACACTCCCTTGCCCTCTGACTCCTCCTTTCCCTCTCTGTTTTTCAGGTGCAGTCCCTGTCATGTGAGTGCTGCCCACTGCCCACCTCCTGAGGGGCATTTAGTGGCCCAGGAGAAGCTCAGGGAGGGCTTGGCCAGGGACGTGAGTTAGTGATGGGGGAAATGGAGCTTCTCTGTACCTGTGCTCACAGCTGCTTGCTACTGTTGCATCCTGCCAGTGCATGAGGGAGAAGCTGGGCTTGGTGGTGGGGTATTTTCCTGCTGTCCAGAGGCATTAGAGGGGAAAAAGAGCCAAGACCTTACATTGTGCTGGACTCTGACTCTTCCCTCTGCCTAAAACTGGGTTCTCTCTTCCCTTTCTGGCTGCTGCTCCAATCACTGTTTTTAGCTGACTAAATAATAAAATATTTTGTGTAGAAATCACTGTGCACGCCTTTTCATGCTAAGGATAACCCCTCTGTGCCCAGCCTCTTCCCCAAGGGGCTGTAGCAGGCTTCCCCTCCACCTCACCTCCCCTAAAGTAAAGCTCTGCCTCCCCAGTTCCAGGAGTAGTGAGATCCTGCCGAGGAGGACACTAAGGGAGCAGCAGCTACAACAAAGCACCTGGGAGGAGGCAGGTCAGTGCAGTTACCTGGAAAAAAGTTAAGAAAACAGGCTGGAGCTTGATGTAATTCTCTTATTTATTTGTGCTCTCCATCTGCAAGGGCAGTGCAAAGGGCAGGCAGAGGAAGGGAGGAAGTAGAGTGTGTTTTTTATAGTCACTGCTAGATAAGATTAAGGCTCAGATACAGGAGCCACTGTGGAAACTGCTACTCCCCAAGGCCCTGGGGCTGGAGCAGAGCCCATGCAGGGCCACCAGCCTGTCCACACCCTTATCCACACTTCAGCAAGCTCAGCACTCAAGCCCACCTACTCTGTTTGGGCAGTGGGCAACTGTCCTCCTTCCCTGAGGAACGCGGTTGTTCTCAAGCGCTGCTCTCCGATGGCTGGGTGTGGGACATGGGGACACTGCCCTGCTCTGGAACTGCTGTCTTGTACAGCTCTTGGGATCGAGGAAGGCTCAGGCTGTGATTTGAGCTCACAGTGTTGGTCCAGGTTGCTGCAGCATCAGCCAGAGCGGTGGATGGTGTCACTGGCTCAAGACCAAGAGGACGGAGAGCACGCAGAAGGGTGTGAAGGAGAGCCTCAAGCCCTGCTGCCCCAGGGGCAGGGTGCCCTGTGCAGCTGGCCGCTCCAGGAGGTCGCAGCTGAGGAGGAAAGCACATGAGGCTGAAGGCACTGATCTCCACCCCCATGCACACCCAGCCCTTTGGCATGGACCATGGACTTACAGCATTGCCTCTTTAACGGGGAGGGAGGTCTGGAGCCAGGCAGTAACCGTGCTGCCATACGCCTCGTAGAGCCGAACCACCACGGCTTCAGGTCTGCCCTCAGCCTTTGGGGGACAGTGCAGGTGGGAGTTCAGACAAATGAGACAGGCACAGCCTCTCCAACCCACGTTGTTCCGCTCAGCTGAGCCTAACCGCCACTCAGTGTGGAGGAAAGAGCAACCCATGCTTGACAACAGCACCTTAACCCCCTCTGCCCTCCCCACCTCTGCCCTGGCACCTGCCTGCTTGACGGTCTCCAGCACGATGGCAGGTGAGCTGACAGAAAAGGC